TGCCTCACCACGCCCAGCTTAAGAAATTGAAATTTGGCAATATTTCTGACCTTGATGTTTGGCAAAGCATAATAGGAGTTACAGAGAGTACAAGAAGAGGAACAGGTGGGTGGGTAGAGGGGAAAAGGATAAAGTCTTTGGTTTTAGACATGTGAATGTGAAGATAGCTCAGACATAACTAAGGCACAACTCATTTTGTACGTATGGCTACTGTTTTTTTCAGGGCATGATGCATGAGATAGATGCCCACATTTACGGAGCCCCTAACCTACTCTTGGGCATAGGAAGTCTTTAGTAGTTAATATATTTGTAAGATGAAGGCATGAATTAATTGAAGTTATCTAGTCTAGTGTGGTAACACACACCTGTAATCCCAGCAGTTGAGAGGCTGAGGCAGGAGGATTACTGTCAGAGGCCGGCCTGGGCTACAAAGTGAGTTCAAGGCCAGCCTGTGAACTGCATAGTGAAACCCTGTCTCAAAAAGACAAAACAAACAAGTTATCTGTAGAGCTCTAATCAGTTGCACTACTGCATTTTGGGCCAGATAAATCTTCATTGTGGGAACTGTCCTTTGGCATTGTAGATGCTTGGCTAACACCCTCTATACGTACTCTACATTGTGACACCCAGACATTGTCTCCAGACATTGCAGAGTCACCTTCTCTTGAGAATTACTAGTATGGAGGAAGTCTAGAGGAGCAAAGGTGTTCTCTGTTAGAGGTCTGGAAGGAGAGAAGCAGATAAAGGATTTGGACTATGAGATCCCCCCAGTTTTTAAAATTTTTATCTGTATTAGTTCATGTTTGCAGTAAATAATGGTTACATTGCGTGTCCCCAAATTGTTTTGTTTTGTTTTTGGTCTTTTTGAGACAGGGTCTCCTTATGCAGTTCAGGCTGGCCTTGAGCTCACTTTGTAGCCCAAGCTGGTCTCGAACTTGCAACAGTCCTCCTGCCTCAGCCTCCCGAGTGTTGGGATTACAGGTGTGCGCCACCATGCCCGGCAGTGTCCGCAATTTGAAAAAGCGTTAGGAAGAAAAAACTGACCAAGCAGGACCAAGGCAGATCTGAGGAGTGGATGATAGGGCAACACAGGCAGGGGTGTTTTCAGGAGAGGAGCTCTTTGAAAGTGTCACATTTGGCCGGATTTGGAGACAGGTCTTTGCCCTCAGAGGTTGTGTTCCTCAGCCCTGGGCTACTGTGTCACTCCTGCCACGGGAAGGCCAGAGTATTAGGAAGCAAAGTTTTTGTGTGACACTAGGACCACACCTTAGTTTTAGAAGAGTCAGATTCCAAGACAGTTCCCTTCCCTTACTTTTTGCTACTGTTGTAGAGAGGTCTTTCTTGCTTGCTTGCTCCCTTGTCTTTTTAAACGGGGTCTCACTCTGCAATTCAGGCTGGCCTCTAACTCCCAGTGATCCTGCTGCCTCAGCCTCCTGCGTGCTGGGATGACAGGCTGTGTCACCACGCTCAGCTGAAAGATTTCTTTCAAATGCAATTATGTGGGATCTTTTTTTGTTTTGATTTTTGAGAGAGGATCTTGCTATATAATATGTTCAGGCTGGCCTTGAGCTCACTATGGAGCCCAGGCCGGCCTCGAACTCGAAGTGATCCTCCTGATCCGGAGTCCTGGGATGACAGCACTGGGCCGCTACACCAGCTTGGGTTCATTTTCTTGACTACTGTTTTTTGTTTTTTGAAATGTGTTTATTCTGTGAATTTCACAAACACTCTTTGCTTATAGGAATGGGAATACTGACGTATTTGGAAGAAATGCACACAGCTTCTTTTGCCTGTAGCTTAGAAGGTGGAGCCTTACTCTGCTCACTGGCCCAGAAAGCCAGGGCTGTGTGAGGCCAGCAGGTCCCACCCGCTCCCCGGGAACAGGGAAGATCCAGCGCAGGAGCGCTGTGAGAGGAGGCAGCCAGGCCTGGAGGGCAGCGTGTCCCTTGCTGCAGTCTTAGCTGCCCTCCCTCTGTTTTTGTCACACACACACACACCCGTGACCATGGTACATCCCGGGCCCTAGAAGCTTTATTTTCCTCAGGACTGTAGTCGGGAAATCTGAAACGTGGATCCTTCTGTTTGTTTTTCTCCTCCCGTCCACCTCTCCTCCCTGCCCCTAAGAGACCAGGAAGTAAATGCCGTGGCGTTAACGTTTCCCAGCCCTTGAGCTTTCCTCCTGCTGTTCAGATTAAACTTGCACTCAGTGTGTTTGGCCAGTGGAGCGTTCAGCCTGCCTTCTGAAATCCCTCTAAATGACGCCTCCTCCGTTTCAGTTCTTTTAAATTCCTTTTGTTCTAAGAAAAATCACGAGTTGTTTGTTTCCTCAGTCACTGTGTCTCTCGGGGACCTCTGTCTGGGTGTGTGCCAGTGAGCCACGGAAACAGAAACGGGGTGTCCCGGGGCTGGGCCCGCTTGCCAGCTGCAGGCTCCCGGGGCGCACCTCTGCGCTGAGCCACGTACAAAGACGAGTCACAGTGCCAGCCCCAAGGGATTTGTAGGCTCTCCTCTTATTGTCAGTGGAGAGAAAACTATTCCAAAGTGAGGCTGAGTATTGCAGTAGATGCTACCACTCGACATTGTTTTCTTTTCTCTTCTTTTTTTCTATTTTCTTCTCTTTTTGAGACAGGGTCTCTATGCAGTTCAGGCTGGCCTTGAACTCACTGTGTAACCTAGGCTGGCCTGGAAAACACTGACCCTCCACACGCCTGGATCTGGTTTTCTAGGTTGTCTCATACTGTGTTATAAACTAACAATAGCACTTTTTTTTAGTTTTTTTGTCTTTTTGAGACAGGATCTCGCTATGCAGTTCAGGCTGGCCTGGAGCTCACGTTATAGCCCAGGCTGGTCTTAAACTTGCAGCAATCCTCCTGCCTCAGCCTCGCGAGTGCTGGCATTACAGGTGTGTGCCACCATTCCTGGCCTAACAGTACTTCTTTTTTTTTGTTCTGGAAATTAAACTCAGGACCTTGCGCTTGCCAGGCAGGCACTTGTGCCACTGAGCTACATCCCGGCCTGCCACTTTCATCTTGTGAGTTTCTTCCCTTCTTTCCTCTTCAGCCACAGTAGCTGTTCATTTTCACCAACACTTCATGCTTTATGCTGCCTTTGGACCTTTGGACATACAATAGCATTTTGTCAGAAATGTGCACCTTCCTAGTTAATTCTTACCTACCCTTCAGCACTCGAGTCCTTCGTTACTTCTCAGAGCAGCCTTCACTGCCCCACAGGCCGGGTTTCCGTGTTTAGCGCAGTCAGGACACTGTGTTCCTCCTTCCTGAGACTCACGGGGTGATCAGAACATCGGCAGATGTTTAAGTTTAAAAGACACAGCGCCTTTAGTCCCTCTCAGCACTCCCCCTCGCGTGGAGCACACTGTCCCATTGTTCTGCCACCTCCCGGGCCGCTTTGGGAGTACTTTTTGTGTCTTTGTGAGGCCTGATAAAGAATGCGGTGAGTGGTGAGTGCTGCGGCCGGGCGCCGCCCAGTGGAGAAGCGGGCGCGTGTCCTCCTCAGGCTCACGGGTGCAGCACCATTCAGCTTCCGACTCCTCCCCAAAGTCAAACTGACCACGAAACATAAATATTTTGAATTTATTGAGGACATCGAGTGAGCCACTGAAGACACAAAATGCGAGGCCCTGGGTTCGATTCCTGCCCGGTACACACACACACACACACAGACACACACACACACACACACACACACAGACACACACACACACACCCACACACACACACACAGAGGAGAAGAACCCTGGCACTGCTTCGGGAAGTAGCAGGAATTATGGGATAAGTGCATTGGGGGAAGTATGAGGATCATGGCAATGTATCTTTTACTGTAACAAATTTTAGAAATTTAGACATTTACCATGTTTTTTGGTCACCCCTCATCTTTTGTAAGTAAGCAATTGAGTGATTATTTCTTTGAATTCTCTGGTAAGAAAGTATATTCATCAGGGCAAACATAGGCAATTGAGTGGTTATTTGTTTGGATTCCATAGCAGAAAGCATATTCATACAAAAAATGTATTCTTCAGGGAAAAGATACGATGTTTTTCTCTTTATGGATTGGTTCCCAGTGCCTGGCACAAATTGCTTTGTAAATACTTGTTGAAATCAGTGAAGACGTGACCTTAAGTGTAGACCTCTTGGGTCAGGTGGGGAAAGGCAGGCCTGAGAATTGAACACGGTGAAGTTTACATAGCAGGAGACTTGGAGACAAAGTAGGAAGCAAGTCCCGAATTTGATGTTGAAGATCAGAAGACACCAGGCCTGGGGGTGTGGCTCAGCCGTGCAGGATATGCCTGGGTCCAAGGGGAGAGCTGTGCATGCCAGCAGGTGATATGCAGGAGCCTCAAGGGGATGAGGACTTTTTTCCTTCTGTATTTCTTATCCCCGCTCTCCCACTAATCCTCGGGCTTTAACCCAGTGCCTCTCACTACTGTGTCTCACTGCATCCCTGGTCCATTTATTTATTTGTTTGTTTGTTTGTTTGTCTGTCTGTCTGTCTTTTTGAGAAAGGGTCTCGCTGTGCAGTTCAAGCTGGCCTTGAGCTCACTTTGTAGCCCAGGCTGGTCTCGAACTCCCACTGATCCTCCTGCCTCAGCCTCCTGAGTGCTGGGATTACAAGCGTGTACCACCATGCCTGGCCCCCTTTTTATTTTTTAATTTTGAGAAGTTGTTTCGAAAGTGTCATCATACTTGGACTGTTCAGGCTCTGATTTTGTTTCTCTTCTGGCAGATTTTTAGTCTGTGGTTTATACTGAGTCTTAAAATCCTATTTCCATCTTTCTTAGGAAAACAGGAAAACCTTTCCACAACTTCATTAGTTGGCAAGACCTAAGAGCGATTGAACTTGTAAACTCCTACAATAATTCGCTTGTGATGAAGGTAATCGTCTTATCTTTTATGATTTGAATGTTACTGGTGTTGTTTTTCTAAATGTCTCCTAACTGTAGACTTAGTTGATGATTTCCCACCTTTGTTGTTTTAAAGCATAAGAAGAGAATACACAAGCACATGGTCTCCAAGTCAATGAAATTTAGTAACAGGTACCTAAAAACTAGTGTGGTAGACTGCAGTACGTAACTGCATTTTAGAAGGTCCTCAGCAGGTTTGCGGTAGACCACAGTGTCACATATTTGTGGGAGTTCATGTTTCTGCCATTGAGAAGTGGAAAGGATACAGCCTGGAGAGAACGAGAGATCCAGACGTCCTCGTCTTGCGCCCTGAAGGTGGAGAATGGAGACGAGGCAGCTGATGAGCGGATGCTAGGGCGTGATGCGCAGCTCCATCCGTAGATGACAGTGACGACCGCGGTGACGGTGACAGCGGCAGCTACTGCTGTGTCATTTCTCTGCAGTCTCCCGAATCAGGAACGTGAGATTGTAATTAATATGCCACATAGACCGCGTTAGGACTTCTAACGCCTCACCTTTAAACACGTTCTCCCTCCGTGCCGGTCAGATGGTGCATGAGGGATGTCCAGATTAGAGTGGAGGTTTTACTTGATAAGCATTTGAAGATGGTAATTTTACAGGCAAATAAACATGAGTATGGAATGTAATAGCAATGCCTGAGCAAGAAAATTCTGCCATAATCTCACTGGCATTATTTTTCTTTTTTGTTGGTTTAATATAAATAGAAATGTACTTTGCTGTAATAATGTATAAGGCTGAATATTGAGAACTTCTTCTATAGGAATTTTATAGTAAGGTATTTGAAAGTGGTTATAAGGGAATGTCATAAACTATGAATTATGTAATTTAAAATGATACAGTTAAAACATTTTTTTTTTTTTAGACAGGGTCTCACTGCGTGGCCCAGGTTGGCCACTAACTCAGCGATTCTTCTGCCTCAGCCTCTCAAGTGCCGTGGCACCACGCCCGGTCCTAAAATACAGCTTTAGGGCAAAGGATGGAGCGCAGTGGTGGGCTGAGGTAGCCTGCTTGCCTAGAATGATAAGGTCCTGGGTTTGAGTCCCAGTACTGCAAGAAAACCCCACAAAACACAAACAAAAAGCAATTTTAATATGTGTTTTTTTTATACATTAAATTAATGTATAATTTTTATGCTAGTAGGGATAAACCAGTGGTTTTTAATAGATCATCAAACATTCCTCAACTTACTCAGCAAGGCCTTTTTTTTTTTTTTCCCCGGTACTGGGGATCGAACTCACGACCTCGCGCTTGCCAGGCAGGCGCTGTGCCGCTGAGCTAAATCCCCAGCCCCAGGCCTTTTTTTTTTCTTTTGAGATAAGTTCTCATGTAGTCCAGGCTGGCCTTGAATCCTTATGTACCCCAGGTTTCGAACTCAAGACAATCCTGCCTCAGCCTCCTGAGTGCTAGGATTATACACATGCTAGCAAGGCATTTTTTTTTTTTTGGTACTGGGAATCGAACCCAGGACCTTACGCTTGCCAGGCAGTCGCTTGTGCCTCAGAGCTATATCCCCAGCCCTAACAAGGCTTTTAGAAGTTTTATTTCTTTGAAAATAAGTTGTGACCATGAGAACATTTACTTCTGTAGTATAAATCCAGATCTCAAATCTCGATGTGAAATCATGACCTCAAGCATAAACGCGAGCATTTCAAGGGCTTTGTCTACTTGATAACGAAGGTGAGCGTGATGAAGGTGTTGGCGCAGTTCGCACAGCCCCGGGGTCTGTCCTGGCGGCAGAGCCCTGTTCTGCCCTCACTGGGCCCAGAGGCCAAGTTAGATGTCCTGATGAAGGCTCTTGGAAGCGTTTCCAGTGTATTTTTCTGAGCTGGCACCAAGATTACAAGTTTGGCTGTGGCCAGCTTGCTCCTTTTGCGGAGGCAGACTCATCACAGGTTACTTAGCCATGCATCCGCCGAAGGGTAACTGCCTCCCACCGCCTGGGCGGCCGGGGCGGCGTGATCACAGGTCTGAGGCTCCTGGAAAGCGGGGCAGGCCCTGTCTTGAGAGACCGGGCGGGCCGGGTCACCCAGCCTGTGAGGCATCTCTTCCTGTACTTGCTGTCCACTGGCTGCGTTTTTTGTTTTGTTTTGTTTTTTGTTTTTTTGGTCCATTCATACTTCAGATGTCTAGTTCACTTGCCTGTTTTTTGATTGGGTCTTCTGTTTTGAGGGTCTGATATTTTTTGAGTTCTTTATATATTCTACGTATCAGTTCTCCGTCTGAGGACTGGCTAGCAAAATTTTTGCCCCTTTCCCTAGGTTGTCTTTTTACACTGTTGTTTCTTTTGCTGTATAGATGCTTTTAATTTGGTATGATCTCAATTTGTTCTTTTTTTTTTTTTGTCTTTATGAGACAGGGTCTTGCTATGCAGTTCAGGCTGGCCTTGAGCTCACTTTGTACCCCAGGCTGGTGTTGAACTCCCAACGATCCTCCTGCCTCAGCCTCCCGCGTGCTGGGATTACTGGTGTGCGCCACCATGCCCAGCTCCATTTGTTCTTTTTTTTTTTTTTTTTTCCGCTACTGGGACTCAAACTCATGGCCTCACGCTTGCCAGGCAGGAGCTGTGCTGCTGAGCTATGTCCCCAGCCCACATTTGTTGATTGTTTGAATGAACTATTTCCTATGCAATTAGGTTTCTGTTCAGAAAGTCCTTGCCTATACCCATGACTTCAGGAGTTTTACGTATTTTGTCGTCCAGCAGGTTAAGTGTTTCTATTTCAACATTGAGTTCTTTGATCCATTTTGATTCTACTTTACTGCGCAATGAGAAATATGGGTCAGTCTTCTGCATGTGAATAGCCAGTTTTTACAGTGTCATTCATTAGAGAGGCTATCTTTCCTCTGTTGTATGTTTTGGCTCCTTTGTCAAAGATCAGATAGCTTGGCCAGGTGGAGTAGCACGCCTGTAATCCTATTGGGAGGCCGAGGCAGCAGGATTGCCTCGAGTTTCAAGCCAACCTGGATTACTTAGTGAGTTTCAGTCCAGCCTGAGTTGCATAGAGAGACCCTATCTCAAAAAAGGAAAAAGATCAAATAGGTCAATGTTGGAAGTATGGCCGTTTTGACTGTATTGGTTCTACCTCTTCAGGAACAGGGAATATCCTTTCATTTTCTGATGTCTTCACGTTCCTTTTTTAGAGCACTGTAGTTTTCACTGCAGAAGTCTTTCCCTTGCTAGCCAGGTTAATTCACTTAGGATAATATTACTGGGCATTATTTTGTTAAGTGCTGAGAACTGCAAAGGAGTTAAGTGACTTATTTGTTACTGGGTTTGTTTGCTTGCGTATAGAATTGACATGGAAACCTCAAATACCATTAAATATCTTTTTTTTTACATAGCTATTTCACAGTTACTGCCGAGTGGTTCACTTTTTCACTAGAAGAAAGCGATTTTTAACGGGGAGCCAGTTTAATTTCACTACCCAGCAATCTGCCTTGCGGTTGGCCTGGATTTTACAGAACATGCCTGAGGTAAGAAAAGATTGTGTATATAAGAATGAGATAAAGATTTGGGGAAGGAAAATATTACACGAATAAACAGAGCAATTTGACTATTTTAGGGAAAATTGAGTGTCCACCATCATGGGAGTGGAAGAGGGCGTTTTTACTTGGTTCACAGGGTTATTATTTTTTTTTGAGACAGGGTCTTGCTAGTAGTGCGGGCTGGTCTTGAACTCACTGTGTAGCCCATGCTGGCCTCGAACTCACAGCAATCCTCCTGCCTCAGCCTCCTGAGTGCTAGGATTACAGGTGTGCACCACCATGCCTGGCCCATTTATTGACTTATTTATGGGTACCTGGTATCAAACTCAGGACCTTGCCCTTGTCATACAGGCGCTGCACCACTGAGCTATATCCCCAGTCCCCTTTTATTTATTTTTGAAACAGTGTCTCAGTTGCTGAGGCTGACCTGGAACTTGTGATCTTCCTGCTTCAGCGTCCTAAATAAAAGCTATTATGGGTGTGTGCCACCAAGCCCAGTGGCTTCTGTTTCGGGACCTTTTTGTTGTGTCGTACCACAGCTGAACGGGTGAGCAGATCAGTGTACTGCTCGGTGTTACACTGGGCTGAACGAGTGCGTGGTGCCGCCTGCGTCATGTTGTACCGTGATATCTTACATCATATGTTCTCACTCTTAGACTTTATGTCCTTGCTGGGTGAGGTGGCGCACGCCTGTAATCCCAGCACTCAGGAGGCTGAGGCAGAAGGATCGCTGTGAGTTGGAGACCAGCCTGGGCTACAAAGTGAGCTCCAGGCCAGCCTGAACTGCATAGCGAGACCCTGTCTCAAAAAGACAAAAATAAAAAAATATATGTCCTTTACACCATACTTTAGATTTGTCTGAATACTTTCGAACTATATAAATTGACTTGCACAGTGTATTTTTTTCTTTTGTGGTACTGGGGACTGAACCCAGGGCCTGGAGTGTGCAGGACAGGAGGTGCATCCCCAGCCTGCGGTGTACCTCCTTTTGCGTCATGCTCCTTTTGTTCAGCATTGCTCGAGAAGCCTGTGTTGTGTATGAATTCGCCAGTACTTTCAGTGATAGTTACTGTTCTCTACATGACGTCATTACAGTGTTGTAGTCTATCCTCAGATGTATTTGAGTCGTTTCCAGTTTCGCTGTAGGTGATGTGTCTTGGTGGAAAGTAAACATTGTGTATACACAGAATGGAATATTTTTGGCATGAATGGGTCTGTACGTTTTTTGTGCTGGTGAATAATGGCAAAACACATGTCCAAAGTGGTTACAACGGACACACTCCCCCAGTGGTGACGTGAGGGCTTTTTATTTCATCCTAGCGGATACTGTCAGTCTTCATTTTAGCTATTCTAGTGGGTAAGTAGGGATCTCATTGCAGCTTTAGACCGGACCAAAACCAAGATCCTGGGCTGGTTTTTCAGCTCAGTGAATACAGGACCTCTGGATTTAGTCCCCAGCACCCGAATAAAACCAGAAGCCAGTTACACACTGTGTACAGCAGACACACTTTAGACTCTAAAAATATGAATAGAAAACAGTATGTCAGGCAGGTAACATCCATAAGGAGCTAGCGTGGCGGCAAAATAGACTTTAAAGAAAAACAGAAATTACTAGCTATAAAGAGGGAATCTTATGATAAGTCTGTCTGAAATAGTATACCTATAACAGAGCCAGGAAACACATGAAACAGCTGGCCCTGAATTCCAGCACGGGAGTGCGGGGGGCGGGGGCGCTGAGGCAGGAGCACTGTTATGAGTTCAGGGCCAACCTGGGCTACATAGTGAGACTCTGTCTCAAAAAGCAAACAAACAGCCACATGAAATAACAAAATACGGACAGAATTAAAGGGGAAAATAGATAGTTAAATGGTAATAGTTGAAGACTTCAGTACTCTTTCAACAGTGGATAAAACAACTAGAGAGAAGATCATCAAGGGAATAGAACATTTTGATAGCAATAAAAACTAATACTATCTAGCACATATTTGTAGAAAGCTCCACCGACTAACAAGAATATGCATTCCTGTAAGTATCCCAGCTTCTCCAGGATAAACTATGTGTCAGGTCATGATATAAGCCTTTCTGACGTCGAAAGGGTCAGAGTTGTACAAAATACATTCTCTGACCATAATAGAATGGAATTAGAAGTAACAGAAGAAAACTTGTTTTTTGTTGTTGCTATTTTTTGGTTTTTGTTGTTTTGTTTTTTTGAGACAAGGTCTTGCTGTGTGGCTCCAAGGCAGAGTGGCAACAATTCAAGGCAGCAGAAGCAGCAAGAGCAAAAAGGGAGGAGCGTGAGAAAGGGCTCTTTGTGTCCCTTACATTGTATGCAGGCCACTCACCCCAGGGTGGGTGTGGCACTCACACCCTTAATGCCAGCACTAGACAGTGAATCAGTCACAAACTCTAGATTCAGCTGCTTCGGAAGGCACCCTCCCCTGTGACTGCATGAAGCTTTGTGGGGACATCCAGACACAAACTATAACAAATATTATTAATGAAGACCCAGATACACAGGAAACCCATCCCATATACCTATATACATTACTTTGATAAGAGATTATATTGCATATGCTTGTCTGTACTTAATCATGCACTTGAGCCTTTCTGAACTGTCTTTGTGTTGTTATGTTTTCAAGGTACAACAGGCAGTGGAAGAAGAAAATTGTTGCTTTGGGACTATTGATACCTGGTTATTACATAAGCTCACAAAAGGTAAAGAGCACCTGATATAGCTCTGTGTGAAGTAAGTGAAAGAAAGTGGAAAGAAAGAAAGGAGTTACCTGAAGAGAGTTCGTCCCTGCTCACATACACCCCTTTTCGCTTGCTGTGGTGCAGACATAGTGTTCTGGTGCCTAATAACTATACGTTGCAGTAACAGTAGAGTTATTTTAGATCTGTTGTAAGGAACTGTCGTAATAAAGGCCAGATGTAGTGGAGCACACCTGTAATCCCAGGACTTGGGAGGCGGAGGCAGGAGGACCACTGCAGTTGAGGCCAGCTAGGGCGAAGTAGTGAGTTCAAGGCCAGCCTGAACTACGTAGTGAAAGCCTGTCTCAAAACAAAACAAAAAATGGTGGGACAGTCTCAAATGTCACAATGGAGCACTGCTGTAATCCTAGCACTCGGGAGGCTGAGGAACAAAGATCACCATGAGTTGGAGGCCAGCCTGGGCTACATAGCGAGACCATGCCTCAAAAAATACAAAAAAAACCTCATTCTTTTCAGGAGTGGTAAAACATGGATCAGTAGTCTATCTGCTGTGCTGCAAGTGGATGTCAGTATGGAGGGTGACTTAGCATCTCTGAATATTTTTCCTCTTTCTGTTTTGTTTTTGAGGCAGGGTCTTGCTATGTAGTGCAGGCTGGCTTTGACCTCACTGTGTTGGGGTCAAGGAGATAGCTCAGTGGCACGACACTTGTCTGGCAAGTGTGAGGTTGCAAGTTTGATTCCCAGTACCAAAAAAAAAAATGAACTCCCTGTGTAGCCCAGGCTGGCCTCAAACTCACAGGGATATTCCTACCTCACCCTCCCAAGTGCTGGGGTAACAGGTGTGCACCACCACACCCAGCTGTTTTTCCTCCTCTTTAAACCAGGGATCAGAAAGTCTTAAAGCCTTTAAAAATGCTTTTGTGAACTCAGACTTCATAAAGATTAAATGAGAAATTGCTGTGGAGACTTCAAGTTGGAAGTGCACATTTTGAAATGAGTTTGAGGGGCCGGGGATATAGCTCAGTGGCACAAGTGCCTGCCTGGCAAGTGCAAGGTCCCGAGTACAATTCCTGGTACTCCCCCCTCCAAAAAAAAAAAAAAAAAAAAAGATGAGTTTGAGAGTACACAAAGGTCTAGATTATAAATTATGGGTAGATACTGATATATAATACTTGATAATGTATTATTTCTGATATAAATTTAGGTTCTGCATATGCTACGGATTTTTCAAATGCCAGTACAACTGGATTTTTCGATACTTATAAGGTAAAGACATTGTCTTCTTTTTAAGTATTTTTATTTAGCTGGGATTCTTCTGTGTGTACTACTTTATTTTGATATTCTGACGGTGTGTTTTTATGGTCAGATGTGCTGGAGCGGAATGCTCACCTTCCTGGCTTCCATACCACTCTCCGTGCTGCCTCCGATAAAGGACACAAGGTAACAGTGAGCCCCCACCCGGACGCCAGCCGAGCCTTAATTGAAGTCTTTTGCTTTACTGAGGAAAATGGTGTTATCACGTGTTTGAGATGCTTGTCTGTTCATTTTAAAACTTTTTGGCCTATGCTTTAAAAATTTGCTGAATTAAAAAAATGGCTGAATTTTAGAATTAATATTTCTAGAGTATAAATAACATTTTGATCAATCTCGTTTGAAGCCACAATTTTGGATCAGTGGATGAGGAGATATTCGGTGTGCCTATACCAGTAGTTGCCTTGGTAAGTAGGAAACACCAGGATTTCTCTCTGTATGTTATAAACTAAATGAGTATATATGAGTAGTTGTGACTAGCTTCAAGAGACACCGAAGGTCCTTGGTAAACTGAAGTACTAGGGCCGGGGTGCAGTTCAGTGGTGGTCACTTCCCTAGCACGCCTGTGGCCCTGAGATAGATCCCCAGCACAGAAGTGGGAGAAATACGCACACACACAAGTATGTACGTACATACACACTGGACATTGTGTGTGTGTGTCTGATATAGATATATAGCTGTGTATACAGTGATGCCTTGGTTCACAAACTTAATCTGTTCCACAGTTTTGGAAAAGATGGCTGCGTGTGTATCTGTGGGAAAGATGGAGGAGGTCGTGTTCGTCACAATGCAGAGTTTGCAAACAAAAATAAAGTTTTGCCAAATGCTTCTGTTTGCGAACCAAACTATTTGCAAACAAAAGCATTCATGAACTAAAGTACCGCTGTGTAGATATATAGCAATATATAGATTTATTTTGAGACAGGGTCTTGCTAGGTAGTCCAGGCTGGCCTTAAACTCACCATGTAGCTCAGGCTGGCCTCAGACTCGCGATCCTTCTGCTTCAGCCTCCTGAGTGCTGGAATTATAGGCATTTTCCACCGTGCCTGGCTAGCTTGTCTTTTTAAGTGGTCATTCTGAACCTTTTTTTGTTTTTGTTTTTTTCCTGGTACCGGGAATTGAACTCACGACCTCACACTTGCCAGGCAGGCGCTGTGCCGCTGAGCTAAATCCCCAGCCCCTTAAGTGGCCCTTCTGAAAAGGGGACCAGTGTTGCGGTTTGGTTTGATTTTGTGTCACTACTAGGACTGAGCCCAGGGCCTTGTGGGCACTAGGCAGTCACTACATCAATTGTTACAGCCGCGGTCCTTTTGTTTCGTATTTTAAGACAAGGTCTCATTACGTTGCCCAACATAACCTCAAATTTGAGATCCTCCCGCCCACTGCAAGTAGGTAGAATGCAGACTGGCGACACCATGCCCAGAAATTTTTTTTTTAAAAAGATACTGTATTCAGAGTAATGTTTGTTTATATTTGAAATCCTGAGACAAATACATGGCTCCAAGTGACAAAACCAGTGCTTAGTTTGTATTTGATAACAGTATAACCACGAACAATAGTAAAGCCGTTTAAACTAGAGGAGTAAGTTGCATTTATAGTTTCTAAAACCTGTGTCAAGGGTCTACCAGTACAGAAGGTGGGTGGTGTAAAAGTAAAAAGATTGCTTGTTTCTTTCTTTCTTTCTTTCCTCCTCCCCTCCCCTCTGCTCTTCTCTCTCTCTTTTTTTGGTTTGATTTTTTTTTTTTTTTTTTTTTTTCAGTGGGTCTCTGTAGTGAAGGCTGGTCTCAAACTCACAGTGATCCTCCTATCTCAGCCTCCAGAGTGCTGGGATTACAGGCGTGTGCCACCATCTCTTTCTTGACAGGATCTTGCTACGTAATTCAAGTTGGCCTTAAACTGCCATATGTAGCCCAGGCTGGCCTTGAACTCACAGTGATCCTTCTGTCTCAGCCTCCAATGCTGGGATTACAGGTGTTTGCCATCATGACCAGCTTGTTTTATTTGTTTGTTTATTTATTTATTTTTGTCTTTTTGGGACAGGGTCCCACTATGCAGTTCAGGCTGGCCTTGAGCTCACTTTGTAGCCCAGGCTGATCTCGAACTCCCAACGATCCTCCTGCCTCAGCCTCCTGAGTGCTGGGATTGCAGGCTTGTGCCACTGTGCTCAGCTGTTTTTTGTTTTGAAAGGTCCTTTCATTATTATATTCTTCCTTTTTTTTTGACTGGATGAATGAGTCAGAAGTTAGAAAAGCCCCAGGATTTGCCATGTGAGTAGTAAGTTCCATAGAAACTCAAATATTGTCTGTTCTCTTTCTCTGTTGCAGTGCTGAGGATTGTCTTTAATGTTAGAAATCCAAGTACTGCCTGTTGTTTCCGGTAGCAGCTAAAGCAGGAGGTAGAGAGCCCCCTTCTCTAGATGAACGGTCTGCACAGTAGCGGGGCAGCAGGTGAGGGGAGGGAGTTTGATTCCAAGTTACAGACACATGGTTGTTTACAGGGTCAGTTTCATTCAGCCCAGGGAGAGGTTCAGGGTTAGGTCAAAGTATGGCTAGGAAAGGTCTAGGCTAGTGAACAAGGGTTCTTTAGAAGGATTCATTTATTTGTTTTTGTGGCACTGGGGATGAAATCCAGGGCCCACATGTTAGGCCAGCGCTCTGTCACTGAGCCACATCTCCCACCTCCAGATGAATCTTAGCCTTTAAAATACGAATTGCCTCTTGAAGATACCAATAGGTAAAATAACAACCATTGATATTGTCCTACCGCTTTGTCTGTAATTCGGTAAATCCCCCTATTACTATGTTATCCTTCTTTTACTCTTTTAAATAAAAAACAAACAAAAAACGAATTGCCGTATGAAGCCAGGTGCAGCGCTATATACCTGTAATCCTAGTGCCCTAGAGGCCAAGACAGAAGGACCACTTAAGCCCGGGAGCTCGAGGCCAGCCTTGGCAACATGTTTTTAGAAAGGCTGGGGTATAGCTCAGTGGCAGAGCACTTGCCTTCCGTGTCTGAGGCCCTAGGTTCAAACCGCAGGCCCTGGTAAATAAATAAATAAACTGTTGTATATTTATCTACATCTAAGTATGTTAACAAAATGTTACAATTTTTCATTTTATAAAAATATATGATTAGGGACAGGATAGTTTTGACTTACAGCTGTATCTGTTTTTTTTGTTGTTGTTTGTTTGTTTTGGGTTTTTTTTTTTTGCTTTTGTTTTTCTTCCGGTACTGGGAATTGAACTCACTACCTTGCGCTTGCCAGGCAGGTGCTTTGCCTCTAAGCTAAACCCCAGCCCCCAGCTGTATCTCTTTAAACTTACACCTATTGCTTGTTTTGTGTATGGCACTGGGGATTAAACCT